ACTCTCATTTCACTCAAATGGTAGTGGAAATGTCATTGAGTACTCCGACTCCATGCTTTTTGTTTGGTGAAGATAGCATGTTGAAGTGTCTTCGTCTGATTTAGCTGTTGCAAATTCTCCGGAAATGAGCGAACGCACTCTCACTTGCCATAGAAAACAATCATAATGGTGTAATGAGTCATGCATCAACTTTGAGTTGATAAAACAGAAATCGCCTAGTCTGTCGTACAGTGGATAAGCTTGCCCATTTTAAATTTCGTTCCCTTCAGGCAAATGTACAGTGACCCTTTACAACGAAGTGGAACCCCTGACTTCTTACGTGGAACGGGAGGATGCTTTTTATTATCGCCTCATTTACGATCCCAACACGAAACGCCTACAGGAGGATCGAGGTTCTATGCGAATCGGTTCGGACTTTCAGTGCGATGTTCAGCCACTCTTGACTAAAGGTACTTCCTACCGGGTAATGCGCGATCACAGTTCAAGTCTCAGGAACAGCTCATTCTTTGTTCCTCTAGGCGAAAACGATCCTCGTTTCAGACAGAATCTGGAGGAAATCCTATGGAATCCCGTAAACTCTCCCTCTCTCTCAGAAATGGACACATTTATTAGTGCAGTAAAAGCAGTTGGTCTCTACGGTCGCGCCTGTGATCCGGCTAGTAGTCAGCAGAATCCTCTCCTTATTAATGCTGCAGCTGCTGCTAGTCGGGACATAACTCTTCAGTTTGCGCACGACATTCTATTCAGAGCTGCTTTTAATGTCCAGAAAGCCATGTCCCACTTACTCCCCAGTATGTTCTTTTACCCTTTTTGAGCCATTCACCTGGTTCATGTTCTTCCTAACTCCATCCCCCTCTCCTTCATAGACGGTCAGCCGGTGGTATGCAAGGACGAGCTAGAGATGTGGACGGCACACGAATCTTCTCTGTTCGAGGAGGCCTTAGGGAAACACATCAAGGATTTTGCCCACATAATCTCCGACTTTCTGCCCTGGAAGTCTTCCAAATCCATTGTAGAGATGTACTACTTTTGGAAGACTACTGATCGCTACACTCGTCATCGCAAGAACAAGATGATTACCAGGGAACAGAAACTCAAACAGGTCTACATCCCAGACTATAGCAAGCCAAACTCTTCTGTCCTTTACAACCGCACTGACGGCAACGATCGTGGTTGTGAATGTTGCTACGGTGCGTGTCTGAAAAAGTTCGACAGTCACTATGGGGAGGTATCACATTAACCCTGTCCTACTAGGTTGAGTTCCTTTCCTGTGGCATTGCTGTAGTTTTAAAACGATTTCATCCTGATGTCAATGGTTCGCATAGTTTTCACCCATTTTTTCCTGTGTGGATTCACCGTTTGAAAGGTACTGACTTAAGCGATCATATTGTATTAAGCCGGGGTTGTCACCGTTCAGTGGCGTTCGCTTAAGGGAAGACAGGATTTTAGTCATTTCATTTGTGCGTTCTGTCCGAAGCAATAATTGGAAGAATTGTTTCATCAGTAATGCAAATAGAAGTGACACTATTGACAGTTTGGTTGGAATTTGAGGCAGTTTTCTCTTTCAGTCGAAACATCACCTCAGTGGTACGCCTGGGGTCCGCCAAACCTGATGTGTCGCCTTTGTTCAGGATGCTGGACCTACTGGAAAAAGTACGGCGGCTTGAAAAATCCCGACAAGAGAGGTATGTGCTATCGTCTCGGAGGAAAATCAATCGAACTGCATCCTCCGTGCTACTATTACCACTTCTCAGTGTCTGTGTTCGTTTCCATTCCAGTGATCCTGTGTCACCTCCTTTCCCCTTAGCGTACCTTATTTTTTGCTATTATTATCGTCATCATCGTCACTGTCGTTCCTATCCTCATTCTCTCATCTGTATGCTTCTTCTCATCCCCAAGGTGCCCCAGTAAATTCACGTCCGTCCCCCGAGCAACGCGTTCAAGGTGATTTATGTTCATTTCTCCCTCTATTTCTATTCCTGTGTATGCGTGTGTATCTGTGTACACCTGCAATTTTCCTTTGCGCTTCTGTATCGCTCTGCTTCTCCCCACTCCTCCTCCATTCGCCCAGGTGTCCTGCATGACCTGTTTCAATCATTAGCAAAACTAGATAATTTGGTCTTGCTACAGGAGTTTTCTACTTGCCTCTTATACGCGTTCGCCATCCTAGATCGTCTCGAGGCTAGAAAGTCGGCAGTTGCGGCTGCAGGAATTTCTGCCACCCCATCTCCTTCAACGGAAGGATGTGGGGTGGGTCATCAGAAGGCACCTTCCCTCCACCCTCATTCCGACATTAATGTTACTCCCACCGTCTACCGATGCAACCAGCCCGATTGTGTCAAGGAGTTTCGTAGCAAAGAAAACTTTGCCATCCATCTTGCTCAGGTGGGGATTTTCTCCACTTTTACTTTGGGAATTCTGAGGCGATTTTACAAATACTCTCTTGCCTAAAGGTCCACAACGTGACACTTATTTCTGACGGCTCATCAAGCTTCCCAGTAGCCCTGGCCGCAGCTGCCGGCGTATTTCAGCACGGTGCAGGCACCCAGGGAATTCTCACACCGCCCTCCATTCGTATAGTCCGCACTCTCTGTCCACTCCTTCTACGACCCGCCATTCTTGCTCGTAGGCCTACGAAATTGGCTAACTCGACAGCTCAGCAGAGGTCGCCCTCTGAGCCCATCATACCGACCGATGATCTCATGGTTCGCCTCAAAACCCTCGGTACGTTATGCTCTTAGTTCCTCTTCAATCCTGAGCCCTTATTGTAGAAACTCACTCCCCTACCTTCTCCAGCTAAATCGAGGATCCCGGCTCTGCGAGACCCACAGGCTGTTTTAAAACGCAAGCTCCCAGTTCGCTCTCTAAAATCGGTGGTCAAGAAGTTGCTTCTTCGGTTGGGTCGAGCTGATGACTCTGCCATCGTTACCACCTCTTTCAAACGTTCCTTCGATTCCACCTCTTTGTCCCACAACGGAGATGCCGCAAATGGCATGGAACAGCCTGCGGAAAAGAAATCACGATTAGATTCCCTAGCTCAGAATTGCAGCAGTACCAACGGACGCGTGGTGAGCTAGGCTAATAAATTCGGCTTTGAGGGGTTCTTTCACTTTTCCCCTTTTCTCAGTCCTTCTGTACATGATTCCTTCACGTTTGTTTCTATCCTTGTTTTGTCCCTGCTGCCTCGCCGTCCCTTTAGCTCTTAGTGCGAGCAACGGCTTTAACTTTCTAATAATTGGTATTATGTACTCTCTCCCTTTCAGGCGACTGATATAAACGCGTTTTGCATTATGTACACTTTTTGGTGACAGGATTTGTTGGAATCAACATTTTTGCTATGCTTGGGTACCAGCATTGCCTGGGCCACAAATCAATTAAGGTAGTCGTCTTGCCGCCCTCATTGGCTTGGTGGTTACGTCCCTCCTAAGCCTTTCTAGTCTCTGCTGTGGTTTTCCATATTTGGCTCAAACGATACCGCCCTCTGACATTTTCTTATTTGGGGGAAAACTAACTATTTGAAGGTCGCTTCTCATCATGAGTTTGTAATTTTGATAGAACTGCTGATCTCCTAACCCTATTCGAGCGCTCTTAAGCGTAGTCAATCATCTTTTATTGATTGCAGAACCAATGATGTCTACGCAGTAGCACCTGACTCCCAAAACATGTTCGCATTCTTCAATCCAATAGTCTTGTAATGCCCCTGATTTTACATCTGCATCGCGCTCTTGGCTTAACTGCGTTGCAGCGACATTATCGATTTTTGGTGTTTGCTTATTCACGTGCTGCCGCCTGATTGGTTTACTCGCCTCCACGCACACACGACGCACGCGCGTAATCAGACTTGGCTAAGTCGTGTCGTGACGTTTTAAGAAACACCGAAGCAGAATGAGAGCAAGCTGGGGTGAGATAAGCCAAGGCCGTAGAGGTGGGTTTGGCCTCATTGGGATTTGAGATCGGCTCTTCATTCTAGGGTTTTTGTGCGTGAAGTGATGAGATGGTGGCCCTATTGGTCATGTCTTGTGCACAATCCTTTTGTGTTGTTGAGGTCCAGGATGAGGGTAGGAGTTTGGGTTTTTTAGTGAAGTGTTACTTCGT